CCTTCTTATCTCTTTTCTACTCTTCCTATGACGTCGCTTAATTGTTTCTCGCTCATCTGATGAATCGTCTCTTTTCCTATGCTTCTCCTTTCTCCTCTTCCTTCTGCCGTCATCTAATCATTGGATTCTCTTCTTATACTCCTCCTTTTTGACCTCCCCCTCTTTTTCTCTCTTGAATTGATTCCTCTCAACAAATTCTAGTAGTATACGTTGTTGAACTTCCCCGACATTACGGGTTCACTGTACGCCGACCTTCTTGGATATTTTGGTGTCTTTTTGTTGAAATTGAAAAGGTTGAATGTAGGAAAACGATGCGAGTGTTGCACACGGATCGAGGCAGAGTATTTACCTCGGTGAGCTTCGGCAAGTACTGCAACGAGCTCGACGTGTGGTGGCACCTAACGGCGCCCTACTCCTCCCAGCATAACGGGGTGGTGGAGCGCCGGAACCAGAGTATCTTTGAGACAACAAGATCATTGCTGATGACTGTCGGGATGCCCAAGAAGTTATGGGGAGAGGCGGTTATGACAGCCGTCAATCGGTCACCAACACGAAGCCTCAACGGGAAGACAGCACACGAGGTCTGGTACAATAAGAAGTCTGTGGTATATCATCTCCAAGTGTTCGGCTGCATCGCGTACATGTAGATCACACGTCCCCAACTCGCAAAGCTCAATCCTATGGGGCTGAAGGTCGTCTTCATCGACTACTAAACCGGGAACAATTTGTACAGGCTCTATGAGCCTGCGGGGGGCGAGCTCACGTGTCACACGACGTTGTCTTCGATGAAAATACCTTCTAGTGGTGGAACGACGTGACCGAGGAGGACCAAAACCCATATCAACTCATAGTGGAGTACTTCGTCACCGAGCCTGGAGTAGAAGGAGCGCAACACCGGGCACTGTCACCGCCACCAGCAACTGCACTGGGCATGCCCACACCAACACCAGTCGCAACTCCTGCTACGCTCCCTGAACCAGTGGAGTTTGCAACACCACGTACTGCGGATTCAACGCTGGATGCCGATCATGATGATGGTCTACCAGCCAGGTACCAAAAGATTGAAGACCTACTAGGAGAAGGTGAACCACCGGGACTGACAATGCGTGAGCTCGAAGAAGAGGCGACCGAACTGCATGCCATTAGCGCCGATGAACTGAACTCTTTCGCCGAAGCAGAGAAGAACCCATGCTAGCTGAAGACAATGTAGGAAAAGATGGCGTCCATGACTGAGAACAAGACGTGGAGTCTGAAATACATACCACCAAGACACCGAGCCATAGGGCTCAAATGGGTGTTCAAACTGAAGCGTAACGAAGAGGGAGAAGTTGTGAAGCACAAGACCTGTCTGGTGGCGAAGGGCTACGTCCAGAAGCAAGAGGTGGACTTCAAAGAGGTGTTCGCGCCGGGGTTGGATTCCGTCAGCCTGTTGCTGGCAATCACAGCACATCACTCTTGAGAGGTCCACCATATGGACGTGAAGTTCGCTTTTCTCAACGGAGAGCTGAAGGAGACCATCTCGTCCGACAACCACCTGGCATCATTGACAACGACAGCCCCGGCAAGGTACTGCGTCTGCACAAGTGTAGAATTAAAAGCTCGCTATGATACTCATTTGCTGATATTTGAATACGCTCCGATACCAACTTGTAGAAAATAGACGCTCGCTCTGAAACTAACTCGTTTAGATAACTCTCACGAGGTTGTGAAGGAGGTGTCAAGAGGGGAGAGACAAGAAGACAAAGAATTCTCAAAAGCCTTTTCTATTACACTTACTTTAACTCAGCTCTTTTTCTCTTTTTTCTCAGCTATTACAATGAGAAGTAAAGTCTTTTTCTCTTTTTTCTCAGCTATTACAATGAGAAGTAAAGCCTATTTATAAGTTTTCGCAAGGCTAAAATTGTCATAAATATCCCACGTTTTCTCACCCATAAACTATTGCTCCCTCAAATGCCTTTTGTCTTTTTGACTAAAATTTAAAACCCAAAATTAATAACTACTTCTTTCCTTCTCTCTCTCATTTAAGTTTATTCTCAACAAAACTCCCCCATAAACTTAAATGTTCTATTCAATGATTCCACCTGCGCCGTTTTCGTTTTCTCGAGCTCAGTCGTGGTTTCTTCAATTTTCTCTCCTTTTCCTCGAGCGGCAAAATAAGGTTGTCCTCCTCTGATGAGACTTCATTTGGATCTTCTCGATAACAGCCCATCTGACACACCAACTCTTCATTTCTCCCGTTCTCAGCCACGCTTGACTCAGACATCATGGCTTTGTTCAGTTTACTCAATTCTCTTCGCAAGTCCACAGCGACATTTACAGCTATAGCATTTTTGTTTCCTCCAGTTTAGTTTTATCACGAGTGAGTGTCTCAATCGTGTGTCGTAAATTAACTGACTCCTGTTGAACTTGATTCAGGTTCACGTCGAGTCAGTTTCTTTGTTGAGTCAGTATCTCTATATCTTTCTTCTCCCACATTAGCTCGTCCACTAGACTCTCAATCTCCATGAACATGCCTTTCTCTTTCTCAACACCTTTTTCAACTTTCTTCGTAAGATTGGAGATTATCTTCTCATTCTTTTCCTTCTCCTGTTTTAGATAGAAGAAACTCTTACTCAACTCAGTCATTTCTTTCTCTAACCTTTCGATCTCCTTTTCTAAAGCTTTCTTTTCTTTTTCAATCAGTACTTTCTCCTTCGAAAGGTGCTCGTTCAGGGATTTCAACGTATGCAATTGAGACTTCTCCACAGATTTATCCACAACAGTTTTGGGTTGTTGCTCTGAATCTCTGTTCTCCTTCTTATAATCTGGCAGTTTCATTGGCTCGTTTGCTGATCGTATGGGCTTCTTCTTTGTCATTGTTTTAGGATTTTGAAGGGATTGCAGGTTCCATTTGCACCATCTATTTCTCATGTTCAATCTACATTTCTGCCATCCTTTCTCTCCATTCCATCTTTTTTCTTCTTTCTTCCTCAAATTCTCTTTCCCGCCATTGGAGCTCTCTCTCTTCAAGCTTAAGCTCTCTGTTATTCGGTTGTTCATCCTTCTTCAATTTTCTCGTCTCCGATACTGCGATTTCGCCAAATCTACTGTGTATCACCTCATTTCCAATAGCTTCCACTGCCTCACCACTATCGCCATCGTCTTTCTCACCACCGTGTTCTTTTGTTTTCAGCTCTTCATTTTGGGCCATCAAGAGAATGCCTCTATTTGTTGCGTCATCCAAGACTAGATTAATCGTTTCTTCCACCTTTTCCTCGGCTCGACAATCTCTTGCATAGTGACCCATTTTGCCACAATTGTAACATTTTTCGGAGTTACAATTATTTGCATAGTGGCCATATTTCTGACATTTGTAACATTGGATGTTGGAATTGTATCATTGACCGCGTCCTTGATTGCGTCCTCTTCCACGCCAATTTGCTTGGCTCGACAGTCTCTTCTCCTTATAATTTTCTTCATAACTATTACCTTGACCACCTCGACCATTCATGCGGCTTCCACGACCTCTACCTTGAACATTTTATGAGTAGAGTACCTTTTCATCCTTTATTGATGCTTTGGTTTGAAGCGCTTGATCAAGTGTCTCCTCCTTCTTTTCTTATGTTGCTCGTGTGCCTCGAGAGAACCGGCGAGCTCATCAACCGTGAACGTCGCTAGGTCCTTCGATTCTTCTATGGCACATACAACATTCTCGAAGTTGTTTGTTAATGACCTCAAGATCTTCTCCACAACCCGCGTCTCGGGTAGTATTTATCCGTTTCAATTTAGTTGAGTTGTCACAGTCTGTACGCGCGTAATGTAGTCAGATACATTTTCTGACTCCATCTTCATGCTCTCCAACTCGCCATGTAGAGTCTGGAGATGCACCTGCTTGATTCGGTCAATTCCTTTGAACACCATTTCTAGAGTGTCCCACGCTTCTTTTGAAGTAGTTACCCTTGAAATCTTCTCAAAGCCCGACTCGTCAACAACTCGGAACAATGCTACCTTATCCTTTGATTGTAATTCCTTTAGCGCCTTGTTTTGCATTGCCATATAACCCGTGGTATCATTCGGTTCTTCGAAACCTTCTTCGACCACCTCCCATGCGTCTTGAGAACTAAGAAGAGCTTTCATTTGGATGCTCCAATTCTCGTAGTTCGTCTTTGTCAATCGTGGTAGTGGCATTTGTCCCATCATGTTCGCCATCGGCTTTGATACCAATTTGTAGAATTAAAAGCTCGCTCTGATACTAATTTGTTGAAATTTGAATACGCTATGCTACCAACTTGTGGAAAATAGACGCTCGCTCTGAAACCAACTCGTTTAGATAACTCTCACGAGGTTGTGAAGGAGGTGTCGAGATGGAAGAGACACGGAGACAAAGAATTCTCAAAAGCCTTTTTCTATTACACTGTCCTTTTAACTCTGGCTCTTTTTCTCTCTTTGCTCTTACAATACAATGAGAAGTAAAACCTATTTATAAGTTTTACTAACGCTAAAATTGACCATAACTATCCCACGTTTTTCTCACCCATAAACCACTTCTTCCTAAAATGCGCATTGGCTTTTCACTAAATTTTAAAACCCAAAATTAATAACACTTCTTTCCTTTTTAGTCTCTCTCATTTAAGTTCATTCCCAACAACAATGCCCTCTATGGGCTTCGGCAAGCACCACAAGCCTAGAACACGAAGCTCGACAGTACCCTGCTGACACTTAAGTTCAAGCGTTTGGCCTCTAAGCATGGAATGTACACGCGCGGCCACGGCGAGCAACGGCTAATCGTGGGAGTGTAGTTGACGATCTCATAATCACTGTAGGCGACATGAAATTTCTTGGAAGATTCAAGAGGGAGATGTTAACGACCTTCAAGATAAGTGATCTCGGTGCACTCAACTACTACCTAGGCATCGAAGTGCAGTAGAGTACTATCGGCATCACCATCTGTCAAAGTTCGTACGTGAAGAAGCTGTTGGACACAGCTGGGCTGGCGAACAATAAACCCTACAAGGATGTCAATGGAGGCCCAACTCCAGCTAAGGAAGACTGGCACTACGCCGTTGGTCGACGCAACCAATTACTGCAGCATTGTCGGGAGTCTGAATTATCTAGTAAACACACGTCTTGATCTCGTCTATTTTGTTGGATACGTGAGTAGGTTTATGGAAGCACTAAGGGAAGAGCATCTTGTGATTGTCATGCATTTCCAGCACTATGTGGCCGGAACCAGAGGCTGGGGTGTGAGATACTGTGTAGGAAGAGGAAGGAAGAAGCTTGAGCTGGTCGGCTACAGTGATAGTGACATGGTCGGTGATGTTGATGATCGTAAGAGCACCAGGGAGATGATTTACTTACTCTCAAGTGGTGCGATCTGCTGACAATCAACTAAACAGAGTACATCTCTGCTTCGACAACGGCCACACAGGGGGTCTGGCTTGCACAACTGATGAAGGAGTTGATTGGAAGAGAAGGCGATCCACCAATGTTGTACGTGGACAACAAGTCTACGATCTCCCTGATAAAAAATCCAATTTTTCACGACTGGATCAAGCACATAGAGATCAGGTTCCATTACATCTGGGAATGTGCAGATCGGGGGCTTATTAAGATTGATTTCATCCGAACATAGGAATAACTTGGAGACATCTACACCAAGCCTCTAGTGGGGTAAAATTTGAGTAACTTTGCTAAAAAAATCGGAGTTCAAATATACCACAGGTTTTCGGAGAAGATTGTTAGATAAAAGTATGTGATTTCTCCTAAATTAGTTAGTTGAATTTTTTTCGTGAATTAGTTAGTTGAATTTTTGTAGACAATTTTCTACATCTAGTGGAATAGCATCATTTTAGCTCGTCATTTGGGTCATGTTTAAGAGGGAGTGACGCAGTTGTACACTTCGCCCATTTTTTAGAATATAGATCTGTTTTAAATACTACAATGAAAGGAGAAAATCAACCCAGTGTTTTAGCAATAACAAAACTAAAGGCTTATCTTGCTCTTTCTATTTTTTTTTTTTTCTAAACTTTTAGCTCACTTGTTTTCTGTTTTTTTTTTTTTTTTTTTTCCTTCCAAACATTTCTTATTGTTTTTCTTCTCCTTTCTTCTTGATTTCATCTTCCAGACTTCTACCTGCTCCCACCGGCGGCAAGTTGCTTAGTCCAAAAGACAGCATTAGAAACCGTCTCACCTTCCTTCATATGAAGGGTCTCAAAGTCCTTACGCAAAGCCGGTAATTGAGCTCATTTCACCTTTGTATTTCCTTGGAATTTTTTCTTCATTGAATCTCAAATTCCTTTGGATGATTTTTTATCCAAAATGATCTCCAAAATTGAGCGATCGATGGCTTGGAAAAGGTAGTTCTTAGCTCTTAAGTCTTTCAATTTCTGATATGCTACACCCTTCTTTGATTCATCTGAGTAATTTTTATCATCTACTACAGCATCCTAGACTCAACTACTTGCCAATATTATATAGAGCGAAGAAAGTTCTCCATTAACATGCTCCAATGATCATAGTCACCAACAAATTTTGGTATTGCTAGTTGAACAAAATTGTCTTGAGTAGTCATCTTTATCTACCGGTGAAAGAGACAAGGCTCTAATACCAAATGTTAAATTTAATGAAAATAAGTTTGCAGAATAGAGGAAATTCAGTACTTTATTATGTGAAAAATAACTAAATTTATATCGGCATAAGAAAGGAAAGAATTTGGCATAAGATCATATCTATGATCTAATATCGGCATAAGATCACATTAGTGAGATGATATTCATGAACTAAAACATAAAAATAGCAATTAAATCTTTTCCAACACTTCCTTCATGAATCTTGTGTGAAAATCCTCCAATAACAACATACTAAAAAAAATACTAGAGTTTAATTTCAAAGAAAACTCCGAAAAACCAAAGTCAAGAATTCTAAAATTCGTATCTTTTGTTCTTCATTGATTATGGATGGAATTGAGTGATTCAAAAGTCCAAAAGGATGTCCTCAACCTTCCGAGCAATTCTTATGAAGGAGCTCTAGCGAAATTCTGACTCAAAACCGTTGTTTCGAGTAGATTTAGATTTCTCTTTCTAACTCTCTTCTTCTCATGACCCAACTTTCACGAGTGGCAACTTGAGGTTGACTCGTTTAGTGTAAAAAAAGATGGACAATTTTTTTCGGAGAATTTAAATATAATATACGATATATTTATATTATATCAAAATAGAGTTCATACATAAACATTTTATAATACAAAATAAGGAACGGTAAAAAAGTATTTAGATCAAAACAGGGTTGAAGATGACCGGTCAGACTTTTCTATGGCACCTGCTCTAGAGTCTGCTTCTGATCTCAACCAACTACTTATTTACCTGAAAAATATGGAAAATATGGAGTGAGTGCAAAAACTTAATCATGTCCTTAAGGTATGCCACGATACCACCCTTATTCATTGTCTTGCTCTTGCGCTTATCTTTAGTTCTTGTTCTTGAGTCTTATTCTTGATCCTTGTATCTTGGGTGGTATCTAGCAAACTTATTGTCTTGTCAATATTACGCTTGGGTACTTTAGGACATGGGTATGTGTAAACTTTCATTTCTTGCTTCATGGCCTTAAGGTAGTATATTGATTACTTGAAATTCAAGACTACCTGTAGCTTACATTTTAGGTAGCATCTTGATTACTTGAAAATCAAGAGTTGTCCTAGAGCTCATCTTGAGTTAGGATAGCCTCCTAATTGCTTAAAGATCTAGGGCTATCCTCAAACTTATCATGAGGCAGCAACTTGGTTACTTGTAAACCAAGTGCTAACCATGAGCTCATCCCAGGTTATGGTAGCTTCCTAATGGCTTGAAAACTAGAATTAACCCTAAAGCTTATCTTGGAGTAGCGTTATTAGTACTTGAAAATTAAAAACAAATCTGAAGAGAAAATCAAAGTTCAATTCTAAGCATAACATGAAGCTTATAACACACTTGTTCAGGAAACTGTGTAACATTTAATATCCTAAAGTGAGCATACGTCATAAAAAGCTATGACGTACAAGGGTGCCATACCTTTACCTAAAATATAAAAGTAGCATATGACATTAGTATTTTAAGAAATATTCAGTAAATGACTCAACTATTGGGGTCAAGGAATTCAAACACATGCAACCTATAATTAGGGACCTATCGTTAAAACCATCATAGAGGTGGCTTCCAGTTCGAACAAAATTGGATGTGTAGTATTTCCCTACTCACGTGAGCCTGAGTCCACCAAGCGATTCGCACCCCCTAGGCCATCATAGTCAGGCTAGTTGTCCATAGTCGAACACTTGGAGGTTAGCAAACCCTCGAATATCATGCAAGACATGATGATGATCATCATCATCATAACAAAATTGGATATGTAGTATTTCTCTACTCATGACCCACACGTGCGAGCGTGAGTCCATCAAGCGGTTCATACCCCCTGGGCCATCAATATGGTGTATTGGTCTTCATACATTCATCATGATTAACATCATTTAGGGTTGTGTCTTAGAAAACTCTTCATTGTAATGCATCATGACATTTAGTACATGCACATCATCTTATATATGGAATAATATCATATTAAGTCATATCATCATCATGCCTCTTATATCATCATACTTTCATGCTTCATCGCCGCTATCAGATATTGTTCTCTTTGGGCTTTCTCTTTCGGGCTTTCCCCTCAATGCTTTCCACACCCTTATAAAGGGTGCTTTCCCGCCCAATTCACGCCTCATCACCGCTATCAAATATTGTCCTCTTTGGGCTTATATCATCATACTTTCATGCCTCATGGCCGCTAGCAGATATTGTCCTCTTTGAGCTTTCTCCTCAATGCTTTCCACACCCTTATAAAGGGTGCTCATGGCCGCTAGCAGATATTGTCCTCTTTGAGCTTTCTCCTCAATGCTTTCCACACCCTTATAAAGGGTGCTTTCCCGCCCGATTCACGCCTCATCGCCACTATCAGATATTGGCCCTTCCACACCCTTATAAAGGGTGTTTTGTTCTCCTCTCCAACCAATGTCCAAAGGGTGCTTTCCCGCCCGATTCACGCCTCATCACCGCTATCAGATATTGTCCTCTTTGGGCTTATATCATCATACTTTCATGCCTCATCACCGCTATCAGATATTTCCTCTTTGGGCTTATATCATCATACTTTCATGCCTCATCACCACTATCAGATATTGTCCTCTTTGGGTGTCCTCTTTGGGTTTTCTCCTCAATGTTTTCCACACCCTTATAAAGGGTGCTTTCCCGCTCGATTCACGCCTCATCCCCGCTATCAGATATTGGCCCTTCCACACCCTTATAAAGGGTGTTTTGTTCTCCTCCCCAACCAATGCCCTTCCACACCTTTATAAAGGGTGTTTTGTTCTCCTCCCCAACCAATGCGGGACATCACAATCCACCCCTTTTCGGGGCCTAGAGTCCTCGTTGGCACTCGTTCCTTTCTCCAATCAATTGGGACCCCCAACAAGTCCACCTCCCTTTTGAGGCCCAGCGTCCTTACTGGCACATCGTCTCGTGTCGACCCCCCTTCAGAAAACAGCGAGAAAGATGACACACCGTTCGGTGTCTGGCTCTAATACCATTTGTAACAACCCAAGCACATCGCTATAAGATATTGTTCTTTTTGGGCTTTCCCTTTCGGGCTTCCCCTCAAGGCTTTAAAACACGTCTGCCACGGGAAGGTTTCCACACCTTTATAAAGGGTGTTTTGTTCTCCTCCCTAACCAATATGGGACATCACAATATCATCATGTCGTCGTCATCATCATATAACATCATCATGTCATCGCCATAATCATATCATCATAATATAACATCATATAATATCGTCATACTATAACATCTTTATAACATCATATAACATCATATAACATTAACATAATCATGACATCATATAACATCATCATAACTTCATACTAGCTCACATCATCATCATATAAAGTCACATCATCTATAGCATCATCATCATTACATCATTATATCATATAATTTCACATCATCATCATATAATATAAGCCTACATGACACATGCAAAGGTTACTGGACACGTGTCATCATACAACAAGCGATTCTTCTAATCGAGCCGATAGTAAGTCACTTACTTAGTTGATCTTGGCCAAGTTCTATCTAGCTCCACATTTGCTTGCTTCCATCCTTTAAATTTGTTCTCACTTATATCAGAGTTTCACCTATTTTGAATTTGAAGTAAAAATCAAATTTCATATTTTCATTACCTCTAAATTGGGTTTGGTAATAAAACTTCAATTAAAAAAAATGTCAACTACCATCCAAATATTGTTTATTATAATATTATATTCATTCATTACCAATAATTTAATTTTTTTTTAATTTTTTTATTATTATTATTTTCCTAGTTGTTACATTGTTACCTTCCCAAGTCTTTATAAGAAACACTCCTCGACTCCAGGAAGTTATTGGAATATGTTTGGAAGGATGAATTTGCGTGTAGGCTCGTATTCAAACTTTAAACGTTTTCTTAAAATCATTAACGATGATCCAAATTGAAAAAATAGATTTATGGCATTTTCTGTGCTTCCTTCATCGGACAATCTTATTCAGAAAATACATAAACAAGTTTGAAGAAAATGATGGACTATAGCCCTTAAATTTGAAAGGAAACTTGAGGGTAAGAAATTTAAAATCTCAAAGGCTATAACTCACAATTGAAGGCTCGACTTAGCTCAATTCTTCGTGAACTTAATGTTAAATTTTCTAGATTTCGTGTTGAAAATATCTTCACCAATCAATGGCTCGTCAACCTTCATTTTTGAATTCCAATGGTTGAATTTGATGTTGTGTCTAAAAGGTACTCAAACATGGCTAAGATCTAACCGTGAAAAATGAAGATAACGATTAATTTCTTTGAAGCAGAAGGGTATTTAAGTAATTTGACACTTTTTTGATATTTTATAATCCAAAATTTTTCTATAAAATTATTTATCCCTTTCAAGTGATTTTTACTTTTTTGAGCTATCTTAAAACTCCTCCTCTACAAGTAACAAGAAATCCCTTAAAATTTGAGAAAATGACCATTTTATCCTTCCTTTTGAAGGGCATTTAATTACCTTCTTGGAGTCCTTTTGTGCCCTTGAACCTTTCTTTAGGCTTCTCTTCCAAATATAACATCTCCAAAACTTTAAACCTCCTTCTTTCTTTTCTCTTTTTCTTTTAACACATTTTTTTTTTCTTTTTAA